GGGGACCTGTGGCTGCTGCCAGCACCGCAGCGGTGACCGCATCCCTTGTGTCTCCCCAGTACTCGACCCACCTGCACCTGGCTGAGGACTGCATGAAGCACTACCAGGGCACGGTGGACAAGCTCTGCAGGGTTGAACAGGTACCAGCTCCCCCAGCTCCGCGTTCCCTCCCCACATCCCCACGGGGCCAACTGGGGCTGGCAGCTCCTGCTCAGCGCTGAGCCGTGGGGTGATGAGTACGTGTGTTCTCTGCAGGACTTGGCCATGGGCACTGATGCTGAAGGTGAGAAGATCAAGGACCCCATGAGGGCCATCGTCCCCATCCTGCTGGATGGGAACGTCAGCACCTACGACAAGATCCGCATCATCTTGCTCTACATTTTCCTGAAGAATGGTGAGGAGGAGAGCTGGGCAGGGGTGGGCAAGACGTGCAGGCAGCTCCGGGTGGGAAACAGCTTAGGGTTTGGCCAAGATAAGCCAGATGGAAAGGCTCAGCCCTATCTCCCTGAGCACCAGCAAGCCGGGTGTCCTGAGGTGACAACGGAGGGGCCGTGTCCCCAGCAGCAGGCGTTTCTCAGGAGGACGCCCTCTCCCCGTTCCATTTCCAGGTATCACCGAGGAGAACCTGAACAAGCTGATCCAGCACGCTCAGATCCCAGCAGAGGACAGCGAGATCATCACCAACATGGCCCACCTCGGGGTGCCCATCATCACAGACGTGAGTGTCCACCTCCCGCTCCCCGCAGCTCTCCTTGCCCCTCGGGAGGGACCATGGCACCCGCTCTGCTACGGGAACCGTGTTATCCCCCGGGATGTCCCCAGCACCCCTCCGGGGTGGCCCCGGTCCCTCCGCCGGAGCCCCCGTGTCTCAAGGGGTCCCTGTGCTCTTTCTGCCCAGTCCACCCTGCGCCGCCGGAGCAAGCCGGAGCGGAAGGAGCGGATCAGCGAGCAGACCTACCAGCTCTCCCGATGGACCCCCGTAATTAAGGACATCATGGAGGTGAGCCAGCAAGGACAGGGACCGAGGGACGGAGCAGGGACCTCAGCACCACCCGGGAAGGGACCGGCAGAAAGCTGGGTGCTTCAGCCCAAACCCTGGCACCTCTCCCCAGCGCGTGCCCTCCAGGCTGCCTGCTCGCTGCCTGCAGTTCCAACAAGGCTGGGATGTTCTGGGAGGTTTTCCTGGCCCTCACGTGCACGCTGGCCCCAGCTGGGTTGCACAGCCCCAGCCAGGCTCACACCAAATCAGAACGCAAGAACACACTGGTTGTGCCACACTGGGCACGGCTGGGTGGCCTCGTCGCAGCATTGCCCGCGTCCCCTCCGCTCAGGTAGGACCGGGCAGAGCCAAAAAGTGATTTTCTCCAAGTGCTGCCATCCTCCTGACCGGCTCCGTCCCGGCCACCCCTCGCCTTGGAGCAGCTTCCCAGGGACTGCCCAGAGCCAGGGCGATCCCAGAGGCTGCACCCCAACACGGACACTTCCCACCTGCTGGGGCGGGCAGACCCCAGAGCCACGTTTTGGGGAGGGGGCTATCACTGCAGTTCAGGGCCACTTCTGCTCCGTGGCACCAACGAGAAGCAGAGCCCCGGCGCCATTGATTGCCAAAAGCACACATAACGTCAGCTCCTGCCTTCCTCTGCCCCAGTCTGTGCAGACTCTCCCAGGATGGCCCTGGGCACCCCCGAACCTCATCCCCAGGACCGCAGCATCTCACCAACAGTGTTAACCCTCCCCTCCTGATAAAAAGCAACAGCAGGTCCCCTACCTCAGGGCTGAGTCCCAGGTGCGAAGCCTCCAGCTCAGCTCTTGCCCCTGAGCTGCTCAGGGAAGGACCTTGCTTTCCCCCTGCCCCTACCCCACCTCCCCACACCCCCC